ATGATGCATGTTTGCAATAGATGGCACTAGTTCATTTTTGGAAGTACTAGAGTCATTCGCATGTATGTTATTGCTATGTCATTTGACAGCTGACAGTTCTAGCTTCTTTCTAAAAAAAAATTGAGCAATTTGGTTGAGTTTTGGAGATTGTACAAGTTGAAGATGGAAGACCAAACTGTGCATTTTTGCCATATTTTACTGTTTTACTTCCATAAAGAGAAGAACGTGCATCAAGCTTGTGAAAAGTTGCATAAAGTTTACGGTGACAATGCTCTACAAGAACATCAGTGCCAACGATGGTTCATGAAATTCCATGCTGGTGATTTTGATCTCAACGATGCTCCTCGGTAAGGGAGGCCCACCGAGGTTGATGATGACAAAATGAAGGCATTGATCAAGTCAAACCCACGTTACATGACACGAAAGATTGCAGAAACATTGAACATCCATCATTCAAGGACCACCTGAAGAAGCTGGGATATGTAAGCAAGCTCAATATTTGGGTTCTGCATGAACTCAAAGAAGTTCATTTGACAGCGTGTATGAACATTTGCAATATGCTCATTAAACGTGAGGAAAACGATCCTTTTTTGAAGCGACTGATAACTGGTGATGAGAAGTGGATTGTTTACAACAATGTGGTGCGCAAACGGTCTTGGTCCCGACGTGATGATTCGCCTCAAATGACATAGAAAGCAGACATTCATCAGAGTAAGGTTATGCTCTCAGTGTGGTGGGATTTTAAAGGTGTCATGTTTTTTGAGCTCCTACCAAGGAACCAAACAATCGATTAAAATGTGTACTGTAAGCAATTGGACAGTTTGAACGAATCCATCATCCAGAAACGTCCAGAGCTTGTTAATTGTAAAGGAGTTGTGTTCCATTGCAACAAAGCAAGACCACACACAAGGTTGATCACCCGTCAAAAATGACTGGAGCTTGGATGGGATGTGTTGCCACACCCACCATACTCGCCTGACCTTGTGCCATCAGACTTCCACTTGTTTCGCTCTCTTCAAAACTCCGTGCATGGTATAACGTTCAATTCAGATGAGGATATAAATCAGCACCTTGTTCAGTTTTTCACAAATAAAGACAGGTCCTTCTATGAACGAGGAATTATGAAGCTTACTGAAAGATGGCAAAGGGTTATTGAACAAAACAGGCAATATATCATTCATTGATCTGTTTTTTATATAAATAAATTACCTTTGAAAAACATAGACAAATTACGTCATGATTTTTCTGAAGACCCAATAGTTGGTTCAGGAGCTGGCATTCCTGGTTTGTGACCTAGCTCTGCCTCTCACTAAGGGTGACCTGGAAGCTCCCAGCTTGTTCTCTGTCCCTTGTTCTCTTAGGGAATGGCATAATGACCCTGAGGGCAAGGGTTAAAGGAGATTGTGTGCATGTGCGCACACACTGACACCTACACAGGGCCCATCACAAGAAGACTCTCAAAAGGTAGTTTTTCTCTTGTTCCTGTGGCTCTCTGCTCTTCCTCAGGTCACAAAGGTGAGCAGTGGAGAGAGAGGCTGGTGTCAACATGTCTAAATTTCAAAATATTTGGATAAATTGAAAGATAGCACATATCCTGGTTGGAAAAATGAGATATTATAGAACATTTGATGTTTAAATTAACTCATAAGTTTAATGCAACTCCATGCAAAAATCTCAATTTTTTGGCACTAAAAATATCAATAATGACAGCTGACATTTACTGAGTATTTACTATGTGTCAGGCATTGAGCTTGTGAGGCAGGTCTTAGTCTTACCTCCATTTTATAGACTAAGATCCTAAGGTCTAGAAGGGATAAGTAACTTGCTAAGGTCACAGAGCTGGTAAGGGTTGAGCCTGGATGGTCCCAGCTCCAAAGCCAGCACTGTTAACCCTATCTGATTACCTAGAATGTCTAAGGACACATAAACCAGTGTGGCTATTAAATGATATTATGAATCAAAGAAGACTCCATGAGGGGAATCTAGCCATGTTAGGTCCTATTTTAAAGAACCAATATTTAGATCCATATGGTGGTATCTGCTTAAACTGAGGCTTATGAAAAGAAATGGAGACTTCAGAAATAGATCAACCCAGGGTGGCTGGTTAGCTCAGGTGGTTAAAGCGCAGGCTCATAATACCAAGGTTGCTGGATTGAAGACAATTACTTGACTAGGAGCTAATGGGTCCTGGAAAAACACACTGTTCCTCAATAAAATTTCTTTAAAAAAAAAAAAAGAAATAGATCAACGCAAGATAAGGGATATGGAAGCAACCTAAGTACCTCTCAATAGATGATTGGATAAAGATGTGCTACATACATACAATGGAATATTACTTGGCCATGCAAAAGAATGAAATTTTGCATTTGCAACAACATGGATGGACCTAGAGGGTATTATGCTAAGTGAAATAAGTCAGAGAAAGACAAATACCATATGATTTCACTTATATGTGGAATCTAAAGAGCAAAATAAGTGAACAAAACAAACACTCATAGATACAGAGAACAAACTGATGGTTGCCAGATGAGAGGGGGTTTGGGTGGATGGGTAAAAAAGGTGAAGTGATTCAGAAGTACAAACTGGTAGTTATAAAATAGTCAGAGATGTAAAGTACAGCATAGGGAACATAGTCAATAATATTGTAATGACTATGTATAGTGCCAGGTGGTTACTAGCCTTATTGGGGGATCACTTCATAAATTATATTAATGCCCAACCGCTATGCTGTAACCTGAAACTAATATAAAATAATATTGAACGTAAAAAAACAGAGATAGATCAACCAACATCAAAAGCATAGCATAAAAGTAGATTTTACTAAACAAAGGAATAAGGGAAGAATTATTTAATAAATGATGACTGCATAAGCAATAAAAACGGGTGATGCTGGTGGTGAGTTAAACCCATATTTTACTCCACACAGCAAAATAAACTTGGGAAAGATAATCATCAGAATATTAAATATAAAATGATATTGTAGAAAACTAGCAGAAAATAAGCTATCAGATGGGTAGACGAAAGCTCACTTTGTCAGCATTGAAGCAATAAAAAAAATCACAAAGGACTAGAATGACAGATTGAACATTAAAGCAAAATACAATGGCCTGGGAAATATTTGCATCATTGATGATACAAGAATATCAATCATATAAATAACGCTTAGTCAAAGTCAAAAAAGGTTCATGTCCCCAACAGGTGGATGAATAAGTACAAATCATTCACAGAAAGGGGAATATAGGTAGTAAATGCATGGAAAAACATTCATTTTTAAAGACATCTAAGAGATGCTAAAGTAACCTCGAACTACCAATAGACACTACTAAATTAGAAGGAAAAAAGGGATGGTACCCAATGTTTACAAATGTGTATTAATCTCACACTTGTTCCTGGGAGGTGGCAGAATGAGTGGGCCAGCTCTTTGGGAAAAGTCCTTCCACACTGTGGAGCAAGACCACTCTGCCATTCCTTAGCCTTCCACCTGGATATGTGACTGCCAGGAATTTGTCCCAAGTGGATAATTAAAGGATATATTAGCAAACAATTGTAAGGAGCCCAAATATGCTGTATTAGGAAACTGAGTGAATGCATGAGGATACCTGCACGCCTTAAAAATGAATCATGTGAACAACAGAAAAATCTGAGAGTAGCAAACAAATGAGAATGTGTGGTTGCAACTATGTAAAGACATTATGCGTGAAAAGTTGCATTCCGTAGGTAGTATTATGGATACATTTTTTTTACATTTTTCTTTCTCTCTGGTTGTCATATTTTCTTTTCAGCGGTGGTAAATTAAAAAAAAAAATCTGGATTCAAATCCAGCCAGCAGCGTGACTTTGAGCAAGTTTGTAAAGTGGGGTAGTATTTCCCAGGGCAGTGGTGAGGTCAGTGGGAAGTGGCCTGAGCCCGCATCTGGAATCACAGACCTCCTTGCGGTGGGGGACACCTGCTCCTTCCTGAAAGCCAGGAGCCATCAGCACTCTCCTGGGGTCTCAGCGGCTTGGGGGCTCTCTACTGGAGGGAATTTTCCAGAGCAGGTGGGGAAGGGGGTGTCCCACCGGCACCTGCGCTCGCTGGGTAAAGGGCGAGCTCAGGGAACATAACTGCCCGCAGGCACCTCCGGTTTCGGGGCCTGTTCGCAGCCACCTTCGAGCTTCTGTCTCGACCCCCGGCCCCCAGCCCTCCTGCCCGAATTCGGCAGCCGTCTTGTGCCCCCTCGCTGGGGCCCCGAGCGACAGGAAAACTCGGATTTACAGGACTTCTCCTGCGGAAGCCTGGAGACATCGGGTGCGCCAGGGGGGCCCGAGTCTGACTTCGCAGACAGGGGGCACTTGGGTGCCAATTCAGGTCGCAAACGACGTGCCAGATGCCCGACGTGGGCCAAGCGGGTGGACGCAGCTCTAAGGGCGACACGCGCCCATCTGGGATCCGGCCGCCGCTCCGTCCGTTCCTTTGCTAATGCCATCTTGTCGGAGACGGTCACGTGCGGAAAACAGCGGCGAGCTTCGCCCCGGCCCAGACGCCAGGACAGACTAGGGGACGCGACTGGGTTCCCCGGGCTCCGTCCACAACCCGAAGTGAGGCGCGGGGGCCCTTCGCTCGTAAGTCAGAGTAGGGACAGGGTGGGCACAGTGTCCCTGGGGGCGCGTCTTCCAGTTGGGGCACGTCAGCGCAGGGCCGCAGCGCCGTCTGGGGCCGGAGGCGCCGCCGCGTGCCCTGCGCCACGGCCTTGGGGGTGTCCGTGGCAAGTTGTGGGCTGGTGGCACGAGGGGTGGGGGTGGCTGGCAGGGCTGGACCCCCAGCACCTCAGTCAACGGATGCCTCTCAAGCAGCGAGGCCCCTGCTGGGCGGGACGGCTCGAGGGCGGGTTGGGGAGGCCGGGCCGGGGGGCGCCACGCGCGCGGCGCGAGGGGCGCGGGCTGCCGGGAGGAGCGCGGATGGGGGGGGGGCGCGGGCGCATGCGCCCTGAGCCCGTGCCATATTGGAATGAGTCGGAGCGCGGAGCGCCGCCGCCGCCGCCTCCGCCGGAGCGCGGGTGGAGGGGGGCGGGGAGAGCTGCCTGCCGCCCCGCTCCGCCGAGCCCAGCAGGAAGGAGGGCGCGAGCGGGCGAGCGCGGGCGGCGCAAGCGAAAAAAGCGCCCGTGCAAGGGAGCGAAAAGAAGGAAAGAAAGAAAGAAAAACGAGCGCGAGAGAGGGAAAAGCGAGCGATTGAGGAGCGCGCGCGCGAAAACTCCCGGCAGGTAAAAAAGCGGGGCTGCCGGCTGGGCCTTCCCGCGCCGCGGCCTGAAGGGGCGGCGGCGGCGCTGGGGCGGGGGACCGCGCGGTGCCCCGCTCGACGCGGAAAGGTGAGCAGTGGAGAGAGAGGCTGGGGTCAACATGTCTAAATTTCAAAATATTTGGATAAATTGAAAGATAGCACATATCCTGGTTGGAAAAATGAGATATTATAGAACATTTGATGTTTA